CGTCGCCAACTCTGATTATCACTCTTGTGGAGTTCCAATGGCCCCAAAGTGCGGAGCGCGAACCGTGAAATGTTAGATCCATAGACCCATAATGGTAACTAATAAGCCACACCCGGCCTTTCCCCATTTAGAAATAATGATGTTAAAGAATGGTTTTGGGAGTCGTTCCCAGTAAGTTTCGAAGGGGGACAAACCCTCTTCACGCAGTAAACGTTTCACTATGATAAAGAATGATTCTGTACAGCTGAATAAAAAGAAATACACAATAAAACATCTTGCATTATAAGGTGTGGACTAATTATAATAAGGTGTGAACTAATTATAATAAGATGTGTAGTAATTATAACAAGGTGTGAACTAATTATAATAAGATGTGTAGTAATTATAATAAGGTGTGTAGTAATTATAATAAGATGTGTACTAATTATAATAAGGTGTGTAGTAACTATAATAAGGTGTGTAGTAACTATAAGATGTGTACTAATTATAATAAGGTGTGGACTAATTATAATAAGGTGTGGACTAATTACAATAAGATGTGTAGTAATTATAATAAGATGTGTAGTTATTATAATAAGATGTGTAGTAATTATAATAAGATGTGGACTAATTATAATAACATGTGTAGTAATTATAATAACATGTGGACTAATTATAATAAGATGTGTAGTAATTATAATAACATGTGGACTAATTATAATAAGATGTGGACTAACTATAATAAGATGTGGACTAATTACAATAACATGTGTACTAATTATAATAAGATGTGTACTAATTATAATAACATGTGGACTAATTATAATAACATGTGTAGTAATTATAATAACATGTGTACTAATTATAATAAGATGTGGACTAATTATAATAACATGTGTACTAATTATAATAAGATGTGGACTAATTATAATAAGATGTGTACTAATTATAATAACATGTGTACTAATTATAATAAGATGTGTACTAATTATAATAACATGTGTACTAATTATAATAACATGTGGACTAATTATAACAACATGTGTACTAATTATAACAACATGTGTACTAATTATAACAACATGTGGACTAATTATAATAACATGTGTACTAATTATAACAACATGTGGACTAATTATAATAAGATGTGTACTAATTATAATAAGATGTGGACTAATTATTTTTACTCTTAAGGTGTCCCTCAATTCTGGTTTCCTTTTATTTTTTTAATAAAATGAGGTATGAATGAAATAACTGTCCCTAAAACACAAATTATTGGTTACCGTTTGGTGTGGTTTTATAAGATAAGGAATTAGTTGGTTATCATTTGGTGTGGTTTTATAAGATAAGGAATTAGTTGGTTACCATTTGGTGTGGTTTTATAAGATGAGGAATTAGTTGGTTACCGTTTTGTGTGGTCTTATAAGATAACGAATTAGTTGGTTACCATTTGGTGTGGTTTTATAAGATAACAAATTAGTTGGTTACAGTTTGGTGTGGTTTTATAAGATAACGAATTAGTTGGTTACAGTTTGGTGTGGTTTTATAAGATAATGAATTAGTTGGTTACCGTTTGGTGAAGTTTTAAGATAACGAATTAGTTGGTTACAGTTTGGTGTGGTTTTATAAGATAACGAATTAGTTGGTTATCGTTTGGTGTGGTTTTATAAGAAAAGGAATTAGTTGGTTACCGTTTGGTGTGGTCTTATAAGAACGAATTAGTTAGTTACCTTTTGGTGTGGTTTTACAAGATTACAAATTAGTTGGTTACCGTTTAGTGTGGTTTTATAATATAAAGAATTAATTGGTTACTTTTTGGTGTGGCTTTATAAGAACGAATTAGTTGGTTACCGTTTGGTGTGGTTTTATAAGATAATGAATTAGTTGGTTACCGTTTGGTGTGGTCTTATGAGATAACGAATTAGTTTGTTACAGTTTGGTGTGGTTTTATAAGATAAGGAATTAGTTGGTTACCGTTTGGTGTGGTTTTATAAGATAAGGAATTAGTTGGTTACCTTTTGGTGTGGTTTTACAAGATTACAAATTACTTGGTTACCGTTTAGTGTGGTTTTATAATATAACGAATTAATTGGTTACTTTTGGTGTGGTTTTATAATATAACGAATTAATTGGTTACTTTTGGTGTGGCTTTATAAGAACGAATTAGTTGGTTACCGTTTGGTGTGGTTTTATAAGATAACGAATTAGTTGGTTACCGTTTGGTGTGGTCTTATGAGATAACGAATTACTTGGTTACCGTTTGGTGTGGTTTTATAAGATAACAAATTAGTTGGTTTGGTGTGGTTTTATAAGATAACGTCACGACATATCCGTCTCACTACAGAAGATATAAAAAAAAAAGGAATTAACGACTTGTATTGTTCACTACCTATATAATGTATCATTTATTGAAAAATGTTATAATAATGCTTATTCCAGCAAACAGTGTGAAGAACTGACCACAGAAATCACTCATTTTTCTACATAAACTACATAGATGACCCAGCAGTTATTAGTAGCACTAGCTCATGTACCTGTTCAAGGCACGTGGAAGACATAAGGGGGTCAGATTCGAATGCCAACCCTAATGGGTCCAAGCTAGGTTTGGTGACAATTGGTTCAGCTCTTCGCCAGTTCGAAGCGGACATACTATTGTATAACAATACTTTAGGTTAATTGCAATACTGATGGTATTAGGAATCCTGTACTAACAAAGGCATGGACCCACAAACAATTAAGTGCATAAATAGTTTAGAAAAATGTGCTTAAAAAGTCACCCTGTCGGTAAAAAAAAAAAAGTACGTGGCTTTATTTCACTGGCGCCAATAAGCTTTTAAGATGTGATGGATAAAAATCCAACCTTACGCCACATGGTCGACTTTAAAAAAAATACAAGCAAGTGTACACAGCACACTATCTCAACCGGAAGCTCTTATTTCTAAGAGTCCTTAGAGAAACCAACTTGTTTTTATATGTCGTCGTTTTTGCAAGAAAGGGAAACAAAACAAACTTCAACATGCTAATTCAAAAGTGGAGTATTATAAACCTAATGTAAAAAACACAAGTGATGAAAAAATGAACTTACAGGTTTTGACATAGAAGCATCATTTTTGAAATACAAGATTGTTTAGTATCTGTTTGTTTTTACCCGAGTAGAAACTGCTAGATCGGGATCTCACTCCGAGAACTATTAACACAGTATTCCATATTTTCAACCTATGTGGCACATTATGCGACACGACTGAACATGGGCTAAGCGACAAGATCGGTTCGGGTCACTGGAGGCCAATCCTCCTCAAGGAATAAATACAATATTTCTTTTTTTAATGTTAATATATATATATATCTGGTTTGTTTTCGATGTTAAATTATCAAAACAATTGCATAACTTTGTTGCAAAACGGTCAACAATGAAATAAAATTTGTCCTCTTCTATGCTATTCTTCGAGGTGACATCTGGCGGTGTGAGGCAATGAACAATTGTGCCTATCGGTTCTTTTTGTTTGTTTGTCTGTCTGTCCAGTTTCTCTATACTGCGACAGATACAGTCGAACTTTCTTACCGAGTTTAACAACAAATTTTGAGGCCGGCCACAAAGTTAATGTAGCCAATAAGATTCTAGGTTTGAAAAAACAACCAATGAAAATAATTTTCAAGTAGCCAACCATATTGTAGGTTTTAAAAACAATTAATGAAAAAACACTAAGAAAATTTTGCAACTAAAGAAGCACACAAGTTTCACCAAAGGCCTGATAAAAATGTAATAATTCTATGTCAACAAAAGTGAGTTTCACTAAATGATGCCCAGTGAGTTAATTAAAAAGTATGACGATTTATCTTGATTTGAAGGTTATGTCGGGGTTTTACAGTTCCAACAACAGTTAGGCTCTTGTCTGGCACGACGACGTTACGAACAAAAGTGAGTTTCACTAAATGATGTCCAGTGACTTAATTAAAAAGTATGACGATTTATCTTGATTTGAAGGTTATGTCGGGGTTTTACAGTTC